TAATAAATAATTACACATAAAAAAATATTAATTTTTTTTAATATAATTAAATTGAAAGTGGGTATTAAATTAAAAATAGAAACGGGGACGGGTACGGGTACGGGTACGGGTACGGGGCGGGTAAGTACATACCGTACCCGTTCCCGTACCCGATTTAATATATCGGGTTTTACCCGTACCGTACCCGGTCAAACCAGGTATTCCCCGTCAAAATCGGGACGGGTTCGGGTATTTATATACTTGTTCTATCTGTCTGGTATTTCTAGTGTGTTATGCTGGATGTAGTGACCAGCCGAGTCGTTACATTCTGCGAAGGGAACCAATGTGTAGAATTGTAAGTTAAGATTGCCTCTTCTTCGACCACTCAATTAGAAGTGTTATTTGAGATACCAAATTATCTTAGGAATAATTTAATAGCAAGTGTTAAGGGGCTACATTTCCTAGGAAAATATAGTTTTTGTTTGTTGGTTTTTATTGCTCTAGCTTTTTCTTTTCTCAAATGTAAAAAAGAAAAATATTTTTAGTGTTGATGTTTTAAAACTGAAATTAAGTTTACTTTAATATTTTATATCAATACTTAATATAATTATCAAAATTGGGTAATCGAAAGTATTTGTAATCTTTATTTATCTTTATAAAAAAATCAAAATTAGTTGATACAAGTCGCAAAAATTTGTATCTCTTAATCAAGTTTCACAAAAGTTCAATTTCTGATATTAGGTAAATATTTTGTTAGATTAACCCATTGAATTGAATTTTGTTTTCAAGCTAAAAAATTTTTAGATTATAGTAGAGTTTGACAAATCAAATAAATTAAATATCTTCAATACAAATTAAACTCATTATTTTTTTATCTTTTAAGTTATATATAAAATTATTAAAAAATAAAGTTGCTCAGCCTATTAAATTATATAATTATTTTTGAAATAATTTAATTTTCACAGTTATTTCAAACACATTTTAGACTATTAACTTTCCTTTTTTATTCTTATCCTCACTAATTTATTTAAAGTTTCATTTTTCTTCAAATAACTAAATATACTATTTTATATTTAGGAATTAATTTATTATATTATTTTATATTTATCAACTAATTTATTAAAAAATCTTATCGCACATTTTTAAATCAATCACTACTTACAACTGTTTAAAACACATTTTAAGCTATTATTTTTTTTATTCTTATCTTCACTAATTTGTTTAAAATTTTATTTTTCTTTAAATAACTATATATATCCTTTTATGTTATGTTATATTTATCAATTAATTTATTATATTATTTTATATTTGTCAACTAATTTATTAAAAAATCTTACACCACACATTTTTAAATCAATCGCTACTTAAAAACATAGTTAATCAACTTTTCAACTTTAGAAATTTTCGCCATTAAAAGACGAAAAATTATAGACTCATAAGACCACTTCCATTCTTGCTAGGGACGAAAAATTATAGACTCATACCCGTCCCCGTCCCTGCGAGTCAAATCCATCCCCGTCCCCGTCCCCGTACCCGCTGGGTATGTGGTTTTCATCCCCATTCCTGTCCCCGTCGGGTATCGGGTATACCCGTACCCGTACCTGTACCCGTACCCGTCAATTTTTTTATTTTTTGTAAAAAAAATAATATTTTTAAATTATTTTTTTATTATATACTTCCACTCTTCTTGACCAACATATTATTTTTCTATCTCATATTATAATAAATAATCACACATAAAAAATATTAATTTTTTTTAATATAATTAAATTAAAAGTGAGTATTAAATTAAAAATAGAAACGGGGACGGGTACGGGTACGGGTACGGGTACGGGGCGGGTAAGTACATACCGTACCCGTTCCCGTACCCGATTTAATATATCGGGTTTTACCCGTACCGTACCCGGTCAAACCAGGTATTCCCCGTCAAAATCGGGACGGGTTCGGGTATTACCCGCGGGTACGAGTATATTTGCCATCCCTAATTCTTACATCATCGTTTCACATTTTATATAGGTCCCATCTTAATACATCACTTATTTTTACATTTGATAATTTAACTCTCTTTGTCTATTCAACATTTATCTTTGTTGCATTTTTACTATTACATATTATTTATTTTCTTATCTCATAAATACATTTATTTATTATAAATATTATACTATATTGTTAAAATATGTTTATTGAGCCCCACTAACATGTTAAAACCAAGACTTGATAAGATTGTCTTAAAAAAATTGTCTCTAACGATTATAACCTATCAAGAACAAATTTTACTTAGATCTTTCTTTTAAGATCTTAACCTTGCAGAAGCTTTAAGTATATAAAAAATAATATAAAGTTATAAAAGTAATATGAAAAAACTTATTTCATTAATCTCTGATCCTTGAAAAAAATTATCAGTTAGGTTGAAATAAAAAAGAAAACTCAAATAAGGATTTAAATAACCTTTTATTAATTTCCCAGAAATCTTAACAACTAATTACAATTTCAGGTCAAAATAAGTAATTTTTATTCTTGGGTATAAAACAAGCAAGGAATTATAAGTGACATCATGTTCTTAATTATAATACAAGTTCAACAAGAGTAAACTGTAAAAAAAAAACAGTAAACTTAACAACTACCCCGTAATATTAAAAAAAAAGCAACTCAGAATTAACCACACGCGTTCGGAATAGATAAAGAGCGTGATTTCGAACTTTACTTTTATTAAAGTCTGATATAATTTTTTAAAAATACTATAGACGCATAAAGTAATAATAAATAAAAATTTCCGGAAAACATAAAAAAAATATTAAAACTCAACCACTCCACCAAATATTTTTTCTTCTTCTTCTTCTCTTCTGTGTCTTCCTATTCCTTTCACTGTCAGTGTTTCTTCTTCCCCATTTCAGAGAGAGAGAGAAGCAGAAAGCTGAAACCGTTTGCGACGACGTCGTTCCACGAATTGAAACCTCTTTGAATCATTCTACGCTCTCTCTCCAGAAACCGAGGTTCCGTTTTCTCTTCTATCGTTGAACATTGTTCTCCACTTTAAATCGAAACCACTCTTACAGTTAGAGGCGAGAGGTTAGGTCGTTCTCTCTTCAAAGCGTTTCCGAAATGCATCGGAGCGAACCGTTTCTTCTGTGCGCTCCGAAGCCGATCGAGGAGTCGCCGACGCCGGCGGCGGCGGCTTGATGGAATCGGCGCCGACCGTGTTTCAGTGTTCGCCATTCCATGGAGTTCATGGTTCGGTGTTGTAGTTCGTGCGCGCTGTCCAGATTCCGTTGCAACTATCGATTCGCCGTCGTTGTTTTCGAGGTGAACTCTGCTACTTCGCGAGTTTCTGATTATTTTTTATCCGTTTAATTTGTTTTTCGTTGATTTCTTTTAGTTCAATGTTGTTCTAGCGTTTAGGGCTTAGGCTTTTGTAAGTGACCATCTCAAATCGTGTAGTGTTTTATATGTCGAACTCATTGTATAATCACTTGAATTATCTTTCAACCAATACCATATATCCTTCTCATTATGCTTTTGGTTTCTAATTAAATTTTCTAGCACTTCCACCTGCTGAACTATGCTGAGGATCTAGTTTGGAGCTGGAGAATGTGAGGGGAATTTCACAAGATAATTGATGTTTGAACATTATATTTTCGGACGTGAAATATGCTTTTTATGCAATAATTAATGATATATACGTTTTTTTACGTTTTTGAAGATTTTGTTATCTGTAAGAATATTTTCATGATTTGGACGAGCGTTAATGAGGTAAAAAAAAGGAGAGAAAGAAAAAACAGATGAAGATTTAAGGCGTGTTTGATTTCTATTTTTAAAAACTCGTTAGTTTTCAAAATGTAATAAACAAGGTTGTTCAAACGGGTGGAGGGTGGTGCAAGACACAAATTAGAGCGTGGAATTGAAGGAGAGGCTGAGGAGGATGAAAAATAAAAGAATAATTTGTTAAAACATCTTTCAATTGTTTTTGTATTTTAGTTTTTTAAGAACTTGTTTTGGAAACAAATTTAATTAACTTAATAAATGATGGATGAGAAATTGATTGCTAAGTAGTATTGAATTGTTTTGGAAACAGTTTTTAAAACAAAAAAAAAGTGAGAAGAGAACCGACTATGTCCTTGGTAGCTTCATAGTAAGTTTTGTTGAGCTTATGGGTTCAAATTTGGAAGATTCTACATTGATAAACTCTTCGTTTCATAATGTATGTTCAATATAATGCATTTAAGAGTGTATACAGTATAGTTGCTCAAGTTGAAAATCCTTCCTTCAGATTGTATTGATATTGGCATGGTTGGAAATCAATAACGCAAAGCCCCAAGAACATCAATTTCAACGGGGAGGCTTGGAAGGGAGGATTGAGAACATTGCTTCACACTCCTGTATACATGACCAGATACTTGAACAGAGAAAGCAACCTGGTCGCAAGGTGTATTCAGTTACCCCGCAGGTTTACAAGCCTGGTCTCTTGAAACCCCTCCAGCATAAAGGCAGGGCTTTACTTGGTGTATCAACGTCATCGGAGCCTCAAGGGAACAAAAAGCAACCTATTAGGATATATCTAAATTATGATGCTGTTGGTCACTCCCCTGACAGGGATTGTCAAAAAATTGGTGATATTGTCAAGGTCAGTGTTTAAAATGAATGAAAATAAAAAAGGATTTAGTGTTAACATTGTTTCTCATTCACATATACTCGGTACAGTTAATCATTAATTTTCTATGAGCAGCTAGGGGAGCCACCCATTACTTCTCTTCCTGGTTTGCCTTCTTGTAATCCTCTTGCTGATCCTCCTGTCTTTGGTGATTGTTGGTATAACTGCACTTCTGAAGATATCTCAGGAGAGGACAAAAAACATCGCCTTCGTAAGGTTTGTTGAGATTGCACTTTTCTCTCCTTTTAATTATATGATTTGTTTCACTAGGTTGATAGTTAATGAAGGTGCTACTTGGTGCCATAAAGAATTAAAGATCTGTCTATGTATGGAGTTCAGAGAAGGGCCAAATCCACTCTGTGGGTCTATACCCTATAGTAGGCAGCCTACCTTGCATTTGGAAGAGGATGGTTCCATGGCTTGCACCTTGATTTCCGGTTCACAGCATCAACTCCAAATGTTACCACGAGGCTTCCCTTTATTAAGCCTATGATGTTATGTGATTCTGTCTTTTTTGGAAGCTTTCTATTTATTGTTGGGCATGGTGTTAGCACTATAATATTAGTTATAGTATTACTATTTACATGAAGCTTACGCCAAGGCACCCCTTTATTAGTTAGGCCTATGATCTTATGTGATTGTGTCTCTTTTGGCAGCTTTCTTTTTATTGTTGGGCATGGTGTTAGCACTATAATAATAGTTACAGTATTACTATTTGCATAAAGATTGGATAGAGATATTTATCATTGGTAGAAACTTATTTTAGGCATTAGGTCAGACAGCTGACTGGTTTTGGAGAGCCTTGTCTGTTGAGCCTGTCAAGGGGAACTTGCGATTAAGTGGATACTCTGCATGTGGACAAGATGGAGGTGTGCCACTTCCTCATGAATATGTTGAAGGTATGATTCATTTGTTGAAAATGTAGTTCTTATGCATTAACTGTACATATGAATTTATGATGATCTCTTTGTTCACCTTTCCCAGAGGGAGTCTCTGATGCTGACTTAGTTCTCTTGGTGACTACAAGACCTACAACTGGGAATACACTTGCTTGGGCTGTGGCATGTGAACGGGACCAATGGGGCCGTGCTATAGCTGGTAGACTATCCTATAAATGTGTTGGTTTAAATGGTGGTCTCTTTCTTGCATTTGGGGTGCTTTGGAACTGAAAAAGTGCCCTTTTGTGTGCGTGTGTGCAGGACATGTTAATGTTGCTCCTCGTCATTTGACAGCTGAGGCCGAAACTTTGCTTTCAGCTACTCTAATACATGAGGTTAATTTGGTTTTTCTATATAGAAGAGATGAGATTGGAAACATGGTTGGCAATTTTGTGGTTCTTATGATTATATTTGATACTTTTCAGGTTATGCATGTTCTTGGCTTTGATCCTCATGCCTTTGCTCATTTTAGAGATGAAAGGAAAAGACGCCGTAGTAAGGTATTTGTTGTTTTTGTGTTGTAAGATTGTTTTTTGTTACAATGGAACAGTGTTTTCCAGATATATAAACCATTGCTTTTTGAGCATACTTTCCTCCATGTTTGTTGATTTGATTTTTACAAGGAGTAACTTAATCATGACAACTTTTCCCTTCTTTAGATAGATACTTGTTTATGCTCTCTTTATTATAATTTTATAATAGTTTACTTTGTTAGACATGAAATTTGGAAGACGTGATTGTTTCAGTATGTATTGGTAGGGACAAATTTTCACAGTTCTGGTGTTTTATACGTTATACAATATTTTTATGTCTTTAAAATAAGTTGAGGAACTTCAATGAATGCAGGACTGTTTAGCAGAACTTTGCAAATATTTGTGGCATTTAACTTTAGTTTTAGAACCATTCTCTATTTTTCTTTTTGATATATATGTTAAAAAACCTTTTTCTTTTTAAGCACTCTTTTCCATTTCAGGCATTTACTTGGTCACATTTAGGAAGCTCACATTCACTACTTGTCTTTGCAGGTTACTGAACAAGTTATGGATGAAAAGATTGGGCGGATGGTAACACGTGTGGTGCTTCCACGTGTAGTCATGCATTCTCGGCACCATTACGCGGTAATTACTAGGGAACATATTCTCTATAATTTTAATGTCATTTTTTCTGTTTTTATTTTCAATGTGATCTTCAGTAGAAGATTCAACGAATGACTGATGAGCGGTTTATTGGCAGTCGTTCTCAGGAAATTTTACTGGTTTAGAGCTGGAAGATGGTGGTGGGCGTGGCACATCAGGTTTTTAATTTCTTCATTTTTTCTTTCTTGATATAAATGTCTTCCTTCTTGTTTATGTTTTTCCCACTGGAATCTATTACCTTGGTAAACTGTTTTTGCAATTCCTGAAGCAGGCCAAACTTGAATTTCATTTAGAACATTTTTTTTGTTTATTTAAATTTCCAATCCATCATCCCTCCTAGCCGCCCTTTTGTTTGTAAGAATAAATTAATCCTGTTACAGTGCTCAAGTCCACCTAATATTAGTAGTAAGACTTGCAAGTCCTGAAATTGCAGTATCAATTTATAAAAATGCTCTCAAATGATACGAGTTTTATGGTTTAAAATTTATATATTATATGCAAAATGAAATATTGAAATATTTTCACCCTCTTGGTAAGATTATAAATACAAATAAAGCATTAGCTTTCAATTCTGTTTCTTTATAATTTATCCCAAAAGTCACTTGAAATAATCAAACAAAAACTTTTCCTTAGAAACTACCATGCATGATGTTTAAGTGCTTATGCTATCAACCAACAAATCAGCCAATCCAAGTTTGGTGATTTTCTTACAGGGTCTCACTGGGAGAAGAGACTTCTGATGAATGAGATCATGACTGGTTCTGTGGATACAAGATCTGTAGTTTCAAAAATGACTCTAGCTCTCTTAGAAGATAGCGGATGGTACAAAGCCAATTATAGCATGGCAGACCAACTTGATTGGGGTCGCAACCAGGGTACTGAGTTTGTTACCTCCCCTTGCAATCTCTGGAAGGGAGCCTATCATTGCAACTCAACACAGTTTTCAGGCTGTACATATAACAGAGAGGCAGAGGGTTACTGCCCAATTCTAACCTACAGTGGAGACCTTCCTCAGTGGGCCCAGTATTTTCCTCAAGCTAATAAAGGTATGTATTTTCATGTATTCTTTTCTACCATTTAAGGCAATGCTAATTGTTGGATATCTTATATTGACTAATGATATGACTTTAATAGTGTATATAAGTGGGCAACAATGCTCACTTTATAAGCCAGTTTTATAGGGTTAAGTTAGACTTAAATTCAACATTCTAAGACTAATCAAATGCCTTTCATCTGACAATGCTTGGGCCAGATTATTTCTTTATTAATGCTAGACTGTGCTAGACTTCCAATTAGAAACATTTATAATAGGACAAATAATGGGAAGTTCAGAGTGGGTAAAAGGTCTAATGGGCAGTTGATGATGTTACAGAGTTAGAAGTTACTGATGTAAAACAATTAGTTCATATAAATAGGAATGGGGAGTTGTAGAGGCAGGAGGGAATTTAGTTAGAAGTGGAATTGAAAGGAGAGCCAAGGACTCTCAAATGTCCTCTTGGAGTGCTCGAGGGAAAGAACTCTTGGATTACATATCTTGTTTACACCACTTGAATATTAAGATGGTTTTGGAAAAGTGTTTTTCA